TTAAAATAGGTAGTTGTTGATAAGCATTTCAGTTAGGTTTCAAGTATTCTCCTGAAAAGGAATTTGGGTAACAGTTCTTAATCCAGGAAGCAATGTGAATTTAAGTATAGGATTGATTAGCAATATTAGAAATTGTTAGTAAAATGATGACTAAAACTGCCATCCTAAATGGGATCCAAATCCTAGAATGAAAAAAACTATTTCCTGCTTTGGGATTTTGGAGACAGCATCTCACTCTGAAGCCTAGTCAGACCCCAGAAAATCTCCCTGCGGCCTCACCTAGCCAGGTATAACTGGTGTGCTGCCATTCCCAATACAGAAGATCACTTTCACACCATCATCTATTCCTGGAAGAACTATGGATTTGTTTCTTTGTTTGTTTGACAGGGTCTTTTATAAACTATTGACCCTCCTGCCTTCACTTCCCAAGTATGTTGGGTTTACTAGTGTAAGCCAACTATGAGCCACCATGCCCAGCGCTTGCATTTCTGTGACTAGAACCCAGGCCTTAGATTATGTTAGGTGAACCCTCTACCAACTGAGCTAGGTCCCCAACCTCCTACATTGGGGCTTCTTCACTGATATTTCCTGTCTTGACAAAAAATGTTAACTACTTTCTCTTCTCTTTTGTACTTGCTACTTGTCCAAAAGATTCAGTTTTAAAATCAGTTTTAAAAAATTGTAGCCACAGAAAGTGCAAAGACTCTTTGCACAGAGATCTTTACCGGTTTTCCCTCACAAATGGGGTCCTATTTATTTATAAATTTATTTATTTTGTGTGGTGGCAGGAATCTATACCAGGCATGACCAGGCAAGTTGTGAGCTATAACCTCTGTGCTCACTTTGGGTTTTTGTCTCTCTCTCTCTCTCTCTCTCTCTCTCTCTCTCTCTCTCTCTCTCTCTCTCTCTCTCTCTCTCTCTGTTTTTTGAGGCAGAATTCTGTAATACAGCCTAAGATATCATGGAATCTAGATCTCCTGTCTCAACCTCTGGTTGGTCCATCTGTCTGTCCTTCCTTCCACCCTCCCTCTCCCTCCCTCTTTTTAAAAATAATTTATTTTTATTTTATGTGCATTGGTGTTTGCCTGCGTCTATCTCTGTGTGAGGGTGTCAGATCCTGGAGTTATAGACAGTTGTTAGCTGCCATGTGGGTGCTGAGAATTGAACCTGGTTCTTCTGCAAGAGCAGTCAGTGCTCTTAACTGCTGAGCCATTTATCTAGCTCCAGAAGTCTTTTTCTTTTTTGAGACAGGATTTCTCTGTGGCTTTGAAGGCTGTACTGGCACTCACTCTGTGGACCAGGCTGGCCTCAAACTCACAAGAGATCTGCCTGCCTCTGCCTCTGCCTCCTGAGTGCTGGGATTAAAAGCGTGCGCCACCACCGCTCAGCTCTGTCTTTTTTGTGCTGAAGATTGAATCCCTTGGGCCTAGCACATGCTAATGCATTCTCTGCCATTCAGCTATACCTTAGTCAGACTCTTTCTGTGGTACTTAAAGACTGAAGATTCGAATTTGAATGGGAAAGGTTCGAATGAGTCAGTGTTTGAGTGCTGTGTTGCATGTGGAGTAGGAAGACGACACTCAGCATGCCACCCTGCTAGTGGAGTTTTCACAAGTAGTTCTGTAGGAGGAAGCTTGTGCGTGAGATGCCATGCCACCTTTCATCTGCCACTGCTCATTGACATTTCCCTCCGCTGAGGTTGTTCCTTGGTTAGCACTGATTTGGAACATAACTGTCTGCTTTAGTGAAACCTAAGGCAACAGTGCTTATGGAAAGTTCAGATTTTAGTTTCTGAGATTTAAGACTGTGCCATGGCACAGAGCAAGATTCTGTTTCACCCTCCAGGCCGTTATGATGAACATTTTCATTGACTACTTAAGGGATTTACCACTACCCCCCGGCTTACATCCTAGCTAGTATCTTAAGTAGTCAATGAACATTTTCATTGACTAGGGTGTAAGCCGGGGGGGGATGGTGGTGAATCCCTCCAATTCCAGCATTGGAGACGTAGAGGCAGGTATATCTCTGTGCAGTAGAGTTCCAGAACAGTCAGAACTATACAGAGGAAACTGTATCTTGAAGAAATTAGGATTGAAAAAGATTGTAATTATGTTGCTATTTTTCTTAGGCAGTGCTGGGGATCATGGGGCCAGGGCTCCACTGCTACACAGTATATATACCCAGTCCTTTGGTTATTGAACTGAGATAGGATGTCACTTGTGTGTTCCAGGCTGGCCTCAGCCATGTGCTTTCCTGCCTTGATAGTGCTGGGACTGCAAGTGTGTGCCACTGCCTCGCTTAGTGCTGCAATATACTCTTAGTAACCTTTTGGTGTCTTAGGTTAATGGCTTTCAAACTTAGGTTTAGTTAAAAATACGCATGCATCTATGTGGGGAAGGGGTAGTTGAGACAGGGTCTTATGTATCTGAGACTGGCCTTGAACCCCTGATCATTCTGCTTCACCTCCCAAGAAGTACTCAGGTCTGGTCATCTAACATACATGAAACAAGATATACTGTAGTTATGAGTATTAGTATTACTTTCTGTTCATAACACAGATTTTGATTTAATCATAGTGTAACTCTTAAAATTGGTTTCGTAACTAGAGTCTCACTGTCCATGTGAGATGACAATGTGATGACTGAGATGAGTGAGGACATGTGATCTCTTTTTCTTTTTCTCTTAAAGGGATTTTTTTTCCTGGTCCCTGAGGTCATTTTATGATTAAATATTTTTGGGGTCAGGGAGATGTTTCAGTGTTTAGGAGCACTTACTGATGTTCAGTCTAGATACAAGTAATTGGTGAGTAAGATATAAAAATTCTAAGCTCACATTAGTAAAATAGAGAACTATTTAAAATATAGAACTATTTGTTGATGAGTTTGTAGAGGATTATTAATTCATGAGCTGTGAACTAACCTTATTTTATACATGCAAAACTAAAATTTACAGTTGATAAGAGCTCTGAAAACTTCATGTTAGACCAACTGGTAGATTAACTGGGTATGATCTCAGAGGCAGAGGTAGGAGGATTTGTGTTTAAGGCCAGCTTGTACTATATAGCAGCTTCTAAGCCAGCCTGGAATACATAGTAAGACACTTTCCTCCCCCCCCAAAAAAATCATTAAGATTATTATGTCTAAGTTCTCCAGCCCCAAAGATTTGTTATTTTTTTAGAGAGGAATGTAAGAGGGTCTTATCTTTTTTGTTTTGTTTTGTTTGAGACAGGGTCTTTTTCTATAATCCTGGTTGTCCTGGAACTTGGAATTCATAGAGATTCCCCTGTCCTGGCCTCCTGATTGCTAAGATTAAAGGCATGAGCTACTTGACTAGCCTTAAGCCATGACTAGTTAAGAGGTATTTTTAACAAGTTATTCTGAACCTTTTGGAGAGCATTTAAGAGGACAGGAACATAAAACAAACAAACAGAAAAACAAAACAAAGAAAAAACCCAGAAATTTGTTCTTGGGGAAAATTGACCTATAGAAAACATTTCATTCAGTTTACAGAGTTCTACCTGTCTAGCCTGCTGCTGACCTTGGGTTCTCTGTAACTTGCCTTATAAAACTGGCATTAGCATTGTCTTGTGCTAGGTGCTGCTGTCTCAGTGTTTAAAATAAGCATGTTGGCATACACTGAGACTACTTGGAGTGTGGTTTCATTTTTATATGAAGGCAATGAATGCAGTGAATTTAACTTAATGTTTCTTTATTTTAGTCCTGGTACATTAAGTCAGTTACATTTCTATGTTTTCTGAGAAACTTCTTTTCTGATGCCCGTTTTTTTTCCTGCGAATTCTCATTCTGTATGGAAGCTGGGATCTAGGCACGCACACCTGCTGTATAACTGCTTTTTAAATTGGATTACATTTGAAAATACTGCCTTTTTTTGTTTGTTTGCTTTTCCCATTGAGACTAGAGCCTTGGTGTGTTGTACAGATTGACTTTGAACTCAGAATTCTTTGTCACTCTTCCTTAGTACTGCCACTCTAGATACACGCTACTCTGCCCCGCTGAAATTGTTTCTGAACGTAGTATGTGATTTTAAAACGTTTGAAATTCTGAGCTGGAGAGATGACTCAGTGGTTAAGAGCACTGCTGTTCTTCTAGAGGTCCAGAGTTCAGCTCCCAGCAACCATATGGTGGCTCACAACCATCTGTAATGAGATGTGGTATCCTTTTCTGGCTTGCAGACATACGTGCAGACAGAACATTGTATACATAATAGATAAATCTTTTTAAAAAGTTTAAATTCCTGAGGTGGTGGTGGTGGTGGTGGTGGTGCTGAAGTGATGACTCAGCAGTTAAAGACTGCTCTTCCTGGTGAACTGGGTTCAGTCCCCAGAACCTACATGGTCCGTAGCTCACAATAGTTTGTAACTCTAGTCCCAGGTAATCTCTTCTGGCTTCTGAAGGTACTGCACTTATGATACATAGAGATAGTCATGGAGCCAAAACACCTATACATGCAAAGTAATAAAAGATAAACGTCGAAACCACACAACTCTGCTCTTGGGAATAATTTGAGTATCTGAATTCTGCGATGTTCAAATTGACCTGGAAGTTGAGATCTTCCTGTCTTAGCCTCTTGAGTGTGGGAATTACAGACAGGTACTAACACCCTTATCTTTTAAGCTTTTGAGAGATGATAGACCAGAGGAAAATGATTATGTCTAATGTATGACTGCAGTTGCTGAAAACTGTATACATGGTTCAGTGAGTATAATACCACATGACATTTCATATTAATTTGTCTGATAACAGAAAGGTTTATTTAATGTAAAACCAGATATTCTGGTATTGTTTAGGGTAACCATTTGGATTATTTCTGGTTTTCTCTTAAATATAAGAACCAAAAGGAGATTTTTGTTGCTTCGGAGAAAGCAGTGTTATGTTTTTTATTTTTGTTATATAGATACTTAACAAAGTTGATTACATTTTACGTGTTGAGTTACAGATGTAAACTCACTAGTTTTCTTTTGTTCTTCCATTTCCTTAAAGGTTTGGGCCCCATGGGATCCCTGTGACAGTATTTCCCAAAAGGGAATATAAGGATAAAACGGACGCCATGCAGCTCCAAAGTAACACATTCCAAGAAGGGATAGAAGTCAAGCGGGAAGTGAACGGTGCTGTTCCCGATAACCTTTCTCCAGCCCCTCCTGAGCGCCTGTGGACTTCCAAACCACCTCCTCTCTTCCACGAAGGAGCACCTTATCCTCCCCCCTTGTTTATCAGGGACACATATAACCAATCAATACCTCAGCCTCCTCCTCGGAAAATTAAGCGACCCAAACGAAAAATGTACAGGGAAGAACCCACTTCAATAATGAATGCGATTAAGCTACGGCCCAGGCAAGTCCTGTGTGATAAGTGTAAAAACAGTGTTGTTGCAGAAAAGAAGGAAATTAGAAAAAGTAGCAGTGACTCTTCTAGGTATGAAGATAAAAAACGGAGAAATGACAGTGTAGCTACTGTGAACAAAAAACTGAAAACTGACCATAAAGTTGACGGGAAAAACCAAAACGAGAGCCAGAGAAGAAACGCTGTGGTGAGGGTTTCCAATATTGCTCACAGCAGAGGCAGAGTAGTCAAAGTTTCTGCTCAGGCAAACACATCAAAAGCTCAGTTAAGTACCAAGAAAGTGCTCCAGAGCAAGAACATGGACCACGCAAAAGCTCGGGAAGTATTGAAAATTGCCAAAGAAAAGGCACAGAAGAAGCAAAGTGAAACCTCTACTTCCAAAAACACACACTCAAAAGTCCATTTCACACGTCGCTATCAGAATCCTAGCTCAGGTTCCCTTCCACCTCGTGTGCGTTTAAAGCCACAAAGGTACAGGAACGAAGAAAATGACTCTTCTCTGAAGACAGGACTGGAGAAAATTCGGAGTGGCAAGCTGGCCCCTAAGCCGCAGTCTCGCTGTACCTCCACCCGCTCAGCAGGTGAGGCCCCTTCAGAAAATCAGAGCCCCTCAGAAGGCCTGGAAGAGGCCGCCAGTGAGGTTCAGGACACAAGCAAAGTGTATGTGCCTGGTGAGCTGGAGGAACTGCAGACGGTGGGCAAAAAGGGCAGCAAAAGCAATATCTCTGTTTACCTGACCCTAAATCAAGAGAAATCCGACTCTTCCAGTGCTTCAGTGTGTAGCATTGATAGCATGGATGATTTGAAATCCTCCAACTCTGAGTGTAGCTCTTCTGAGAGCTTTGCTTTTCCTCCAGGCAGTATGCGTGCATCTTCTACTTCTTCCATTTCCTCTTCTTCAAAGGAAGAGAAAAGTCTCAGTAATTCCTTGAAAATGAAAATCTTTTCCAAAAATGTCTCTAAATGTATCACACCAGATGGCAGGACCATATGTGTAGGGGACATTGTTTGGGCCAAGATATATGGCTTCCCATGGTGGCCAGCCCGAATTCTTACTATAACTGTAAGCCGGAAAGATAATGGCCTTTTAGCCCGACAGGAGGCTTGTATTTCATGGTTTGCATCTCCAACAACATCTTTCCTTGCTCTTTCACAACTCTCCCCCTTTCTAGAAAACTTCCAGTTACGTTTTAATAAGAAGAGAAAGGGTCTGTATCGCAGGGCTGTCACAGAGGCAGCTAAGGCTGCTAAGCAGCTGACCCCTGAAGTGCGGGCTTTGTTGACACAGTTTGAAACCTGAACAAGGACAGTAAGGTAGGCGAGAGCCGCTGGAGCGGTCGCAGTTCCTTGCTAGTTAGGAATCATTTCCACCAGCTAGCTTGGTCAAACTAGAAAGAAATTGCACTCAGTTGGCTTTTTATACTTACATAGCCATTTTTAGACTAAGAAGCTTAAAACTGAACATGCTGTCAAATTTTCTCTTAAGGAAGTGAGATTTTTTTTTAGCAGTATTTTCCAGTTTTGAAATCTAAAACCATCCTAAGGCATAAAAGCCATAGCCTCAAATGAAACTGAATTTTTGTAGGGACTGTTAATTGCTATTTGTACCTATTGTATATATATATACACATATAATCTATTGCCTGGCACCATGTGGCAGGTTTTAGTAAGGGCTGGTGAGCTGGGGGAGCAGTGGATGGATATTTAATGACTACTTGTTTAATAGTCAGTGAACACTTCGACTTTCTATGCACATAATAGTATAAAAGTTTGGTATTGGGTGTTTGACAAACTGAAATGCTTGCTATGACAAATTGGGATGCTTGTTGTTTAGTTATAGATGAGGTTGTATACATTGTCCAGTATTTGGGATTAAAACTATTAAGACTGGACAGGCTTGAGTCACCACTCTCTTGTCCAGTGGGAACATAACAAACTTTAAGACTTTTGGTTGGGAAGTTTAGATAGGCTTTATTTGGGGTATGCGAATAGTTGAGTGCAAATTTGGTCAGATTTCTCCTGACTGGCTGGTCCTAAATTCTTAGAACAGTGCCCTAGTAATTAACACTTTGTGAATTAATGTCATGTGTAATTGTTGCATTTTGGATGTACCTACTTTGATAATTTTAAAGAAGCATTTCCATTTAAGGTAATCTGTTTGCAGGTCAGAAAATGAGAAATGTAATTGTGTAATGCATTGAAATGTAAAAAAAGCTGTAAATAAAATCAACTAAATCCAAATTATTTGTGTGTGTTTCTCAAAAAGCTTTGAACAGTTTCAAAATAGTAGAAAATTATTCTTTGTAATAGTGATTAGAAAAGGGGAGAGATAAAATTTAGTTTTCTATTTGCCCTGAGATAGGTAAAATTCAGATAGCAAGAGCTGTCTCTAATGAAGCTCTGATAGAACTCAGTTCCCACCAACCTCTCATGAATTTTAATTTTTTTCAATTTTAGCATTGATAAATTATCATAAGCTTTAAATTTAAAAATTAGGGAATCGTAGTTGGTTGCTCTGTTTGGTCTTCTGCCTCAGATATCACTGCTTTTGGGGCTAGTAACCTAACTTCCCGGTTTACTAAGATTTTTTTTTCTTTTTTTTTGAGAGAGTCTCACTATGTCACTCTGGCTGGCCAGGCTGACCTCATGCCTCTGCATCTGCCTCCTCTGTGCTGGGAAAGTAGTCTCACTACCTGTGGAGGCAAGGTGATCTCAAAAATTAAGTTGCTTCCAAGCTCCTTTTTATTTATTTGTTTGTTTTTTGTTTTCTAAATTTGATACAATTTCAGTTTGGTACTTACTTGAGATATAAAAAGGTAAACTTTTTGTGGATTTATAAAGTAATCCAGTGTGAGATATTAGTTAATAATAAATATTAATGAAATTAGGAAATTAGCTTCCTTAAGCTTGATACTTGATTATTTTGGGGAAAAATACTAGATTTTTTTTGGAGGAACTTAGTCAATGCTTTTTGATTTTAATGAACACACAATAAAAGAAAAATATACATATTCTTTCCTGCAAACAGAAACGGTTTAAAATGATCTGATTATGACAGGCTGAAAGTTCACGGTATGATGGAGGGCTTATAAGGGAAATATCTTTCTAGTTTCTGAGTATTTGTTTTAGATTAAAGTATTTGAGTATTTCTGAAAAATCGATTTAAGCAAGAATCACTAAAACTTAATTTTAAAGCTTGTGTAGTGGTTTGGGCTGCTTGTTGTAATGGTGAATTTGAAAGTAGGTTTTGTTAATACAGTCAGATGCTTTGGCAATGTACCTTTTGGCATAAACCATGTGTGCTATATTAGAAGCTACAAGGGCAATATAATCTGATTGTGGAGTATGTAAATAACATTCAGCTAGTTGTGGTGGTGTGTTCTGTTGATCCTAGTATTTGGGAGATGGAGGCAAGAGGATTTGAGTGAGTTTAAGATCACCCAGGCTACATAATGAATTCCTGACCAAAAAAATTGCATTTGGCTGTGTGTACTAGTACACAGGTTTAATCCTAGCAGGCTGATCATCTGTCTAAGATTGAGGCCAGCCTGGTCCACTGAGTGAGTTCTAGGCTGCATAGTGAGAGACTTAAAAAAGTCTTCCAGTAGAGTGTTCTAAGCCAGTTGACCATGTAGTGTTGACTGCAAGTGGAGATACTAAGTTTTTTCTGAGAAAATAAAGAACACCGTTTTTTATGGCAATAACCCAAGTGGACATTTTTTTTGTTTGTTTGTTTTGTTTTCTCCTTGCAGAGAGAAAATTGACTCAGACAAATCTCCAATGTAAGAAAATTGGCTAATAGACAAGGATGAGCAAGGGCAGAAATCAAGTGAGAAAGTTGTAAAAATGGTATCTTTATAGTTGTGGGGCCTGTCCATGACACATGAGCTGGCTTTTTGGAACCTATTCCCTGTGCAGGAATGTCTTGATGCAGGGGGAGGAGCTTGGTGGTCTTGCCTATAACCTGAAAGGACAAGCTTTGTTGACTCCATGGGAGGCCTGCTCCTTCCTTAGCAGAGGAGGAGTAGATAGGGGGAGAGACAGAAGGGGGGGAGGCAGGGAAGAGAGGAGGGAGGAGAAACTGGTATGTAAAATAAATGAAAACTTTTAATTAAATGGTGTCTTTAGAAATGTTAAACCTCAGAAGTATGTTTTCATTTTTTTAGAATTGGGGAAACAGGAAGTGTACTGGTCACATAGAAGAGAGGTTTATTTAATTCTAGTTTGTCTCTACAGAACAGGAGACCTGAAGAGTCTTGTGAGGAGTCGGAGAGACTAGGATTCACAAGTCTGATATCTGTGACTTGATGGCTTGTCCCTAAATGTTTTGTTTCATGTATCCCATGCTGGCCTCAACTCTCTACCTTGAGCTTCTTTCTTTTGGGGCAGGATTTTATTACGTAGCCTGGGATATACCAAAAGTCACTATATCACCCAGGCTAACCTTGAGCTCTTAGGCATGTACCAACACAGGTTGCTGGGAACAAAATGTTAGTGATGGCAATTGTATTTTAGTACTAAGTGGAACAAACAGGAACTTAGGTCTCGAGACGTTGTAAGCAGGCAACATGGAAATGGAACTAAAATCAGCTTAGGTAAATGTCTTAATGGGTCTGAGTTTTACCCCATTAAGAGAGGCTATGCCCTCCTAAAGTTGGTTATTTAAAGAAACACATGTTCAGACATTGCAAAGGGCCAGTTTTCCTGTATACCAAATAACTGAGCAGAAATCAGAAATTTATAGTATACATTTAAAAGTAGATTTTCTCATCTAATTTGTGAATGTTCTGTGGTTTGTGCTGAATTGGTGGCACACTGACATGTCTAGAAATGTTAGTAATTATGGTTTTAGTTCAAGGATTTATGTTAGGTGATGGTTTCCAATAGGGAATTGGCCAGAGACAGTGAAGGTCATTTATTTTCTCTCTCTCTCTCTCTCTCTCTCTCTCTCTCTCTCTCTCTCTCTCTCTCTCTCTCTCTCTCTCTCTCTCTCTCTCTCTCTCTCTCTCTCTCTCTCTCTCTCTCTCTCTCTCTCTCTCTCTCTCTCTCTCTCTCTCTCTCTCTCTCTCTCTCTCTCTGTCTCTCCCTGTCTCTCCCTGTCTCTCCCTGTCTCTCCCTCCCTCCCTTTCCTTTTTTTTTTTTTTTTTTTTTGAGACAGGGATTCTCTATGTAACTATGTAACTGCTCTGGCTGCCCTGGAACTCACTCTGTAAAACAAACTACTCAAATGCCCAGAGATCTGTTGCCTCTGCCTCCTCTGAGTGCTGGGATTAAAGGCATGCGTGACCACCACCTGACTGTGAAAGTCATTGTCTTTTTTTTTTTTTTTTTTTTTTTTTTGGTTTTTCAGACAGGGTTTCTCTGTATTGTTTCCTGGAACTCACTCTGTAGACCAGGCTGGTCTTGAACTCACAGAGATCCACCTGCCTCTGCCTCCCAAGTGCTGGGATTAAAGTCGTGCTCCACCAACACCCGGCAAAAGTCATTTTCTAAGGAGGGACAAATTCAGTTTTTGCTTTGGGGCTGTGCTAATATATCGATTATAAACACTGTAATGTAAATATCTGGAATTGAGAACCAA